GAGATTGGCTTCCCGTGTTAAAGTCGGCAGACTCGACCCGGGCCATCGAGCGCGATCTTGGCAATGATAAAAAGATTTTTTCGGGGTAAACCTTATGCAGACGATGGGTCAATATAACGTGGCTGAGGATGTGATGACCAAGCCATCAAGTTTCTCCATCAGAAGATGGAGAAACGAAGCCGTTTCGGTCCGTCCTGGACCATTATCAAGGCCGGTCGGACAGCACGCTGGGCTTGTGATCCTGTGGTCCCGGGTTCGATCCCGGGCGCCGGCGAGAAACAATGGGCAGAGTTTCTTTCACCCTATGCCCCAGTTACCTAGCAGTAAAATAGGTACCTGGGTGTTAGTCAGCTGTCACGGGCTGCTTCCTGGGGGGTGGAGGCCTGGTCGAGGACCGGACCGCGGGGACACTAAAGCCCCGAAATCATCTCAAGATAACCTAAAGATAGGCCGTTTTCCCTTCCCTAAACGACCGATCTACCTACTTACGTACCTAACTACCTACTTACGTACCTAACTACCTACTTACGCACCTAACTACCTACTTACGCACCTAACTACCTACTTACGCACCTAACTACCTACTTACCTACTCCCTCCCTTCCCTCTCTTGCTCTCAAAAGTTGTCATGTTCCACACCCACGCACTCACATTTCTCCAATCAATTCACGTATTCAATGCCTTACGATTCGCAGATTCCACCTCAAAAATGTTCCCTAATCGAATTTTTAAAGTTATCAAACAAGCTCCTAACTTGATCACCAAGTTAGGTTTATTAACAGAGGAGTTCCAATCGATAATGGCGCTCACTCTCCTGCTGCCCAAACACTCCTGTAAGTACTCACCTGTATGGACTCAGCTATGTGTGCTTACAGAGGGGGTAGAGATTTAGCTGTTTAGCTTCGTCTTTATAACATGTAAACTGGTTTAACAGTATATCTGTTTATGCAGACGATGAGTCACAATAACGTGGCTGAAGTATGTTGACCAGACCACACACTAGAAGTTGAAGGGACGACGACGTTTCAGTCCGTCCTGGACCATTCTCAAGTCGATTGTGAGAATCGACTTGAGAATGGTCCAGGACGTACCGAAACGTCGTCGTCCCTTCAACTTCTAGTGTGTGGTCTGGTCAGTATATCTGTTTAATCTATTTCAGTCACTAAAGTCAAGCTCAACATTTACTCAAGTTTAATAAAAAAAAGAAATAATGATGTTCCATTTGTTTCCACTTTCTGACAATTCTCCCTCGTTCCATTAACTCCCATTTTGAACATTGTTCTTTGTTCACTGTGTTGATCTCCATTAGTATCTTGTACGTTGCTATCATGTCCTCCTTAGTCCCGCCGAGTGAGGTTGAGTTTTCTAAGCATTTTCCTGTAGTTCACCGTCTCACTTCTAGGAGCAGCCTTGGTGCATGTCTCTCCAGTCTCGCCGAAATAATTTATTTTGGAAAAATTCGCTGGAAAATAATTTAAGTGGGGGATGCCACGCCGAGTCTGCGTTCTCATGCGTGAGTCTTACGTCTGCTGTAGACTACCTGAAGACTGAAGATAGTCTTCCAGATAGACTGAAAACTACCTCATACAAGTTCCTGAAGATCATGGAGATTTGCGTTGAATATGCTGCCGAAGCTGTTCTGATAATCTGTGGTGTCTGGCAAGGGGTTATGTCGGCCTTCTCTCCCCTCTGAGACGGGCAGTTGTCTCTCCATGCTGCTTCTGCCCTCGTATCTTTGCACTTTTCAAGGTTGAATTCTAGCAACCATTTATCAGATTATCTCTAACAGTTCATTTAGGTCCTATAAAGCATTCTGTCAGTTCTCATCAGTTTCAACTCCTTCCATTATCTGTGCATCGTCTGCAAACATAGATAAGAACCCCGGCTGTGCCATCTTACCAGACAGAACCTCTTAAATAGACCTTAACACTGTGTGGCACCATTATCGTGGCCCCTGCACCCCTAATTGATTGATACCTGGTTGATGGGGTTCTGGGAGTTCTTCTACTCCCCAAGCCCGGCCCGAGGCCAGGCTTGACTTGTGAGAGTTTGGTCCACCAGGCTGTTGCTTGGAGCGGCCCGCAGGCCCACATATACCTGCTTGATGGGGTTCTGGGAGTTCTTCTACTCCCCAAGCCCGGCCCGAGGCCAGGCTTGACTTGTGAGAGTTTGGTCCACCAGGCTGTTGCTTGGAGCGGCCCGCAGGCCCACATATACCTGGTTGATGGGGTTCTGGGAGTTCTTCTACTCCCCAAGCCCGGCCCGAGGCCAGGCTTGACTTGTGAGAGTTTGGTCCACCAGGCTGTTGCTTGGAGCAGCCCGCAGGCCCACATATACCTGGTTGATGGGGTTCTGGGAGTTCTTCTACTCCCCAAGCCCGGCCCGAGGCCAGGCTTGACTTGTCCTCATCCAACTAAATACGTTCCCAATTACATCATCTTCTTTTTTCTATATATAACAGCCTTTTGCACTGAGTGAACTGCCTTAGAAACAAGACAAATGGGGGAGCAGTGGGGGAGGAAAGAGGTTTATGGTGTGGCAAGGAATTGTTGTGGACGTAGTTAGAATGGCGTGGTTGAGGTGTTGAAGACCGGCCGGGAGGTTGGGAAGACGCTGCAATGTCTGCAAGTGTTTGATAATGGCAGTTAGATAGTTTGCGAGAGTTGGTTAGCGTGTTGTAAGGCAAGTGGAAGAGGTGCACAGGATAGTGTTGAGAGAGAGAGAGAGAGAGAGAGAGAGAGAGAGAGAGAGAGAGAGAGAGAGAGAGAGAGAGAGAGAGAGAGAGACCGACCACGGGAAAGCATTAAAAACAAAATACACTTTGTAAATCAGCGTCTAGTTGAAACTAGCAGCAAAGAAACATGACAATAGGTTCAAGTTTAAGTATGTTTATTGAGACAAGAAAGAAACACATCTCAAAAGGATAGAGTAGCTTAGGCTGTTTCTACCCCCCATGACAATAGGGTGATGGTCCTGGGAGTGTGCAGAAATAGTAGAATAGGGCAGTAGAGGAGCAGACTGGTAGAGAACACGCTGTAGGAGTACATAAATATCCTTAAGTACCTGGAAGCTCCTGGCCACACCGGGATTGAATAGCATTGCGCGAAAGACATATGATTTGTAGTGATCAAATCCACAAGGGCCGTGACGAGGATTCGAACCTGCGTCCGGGAGCATCCCAGACACTGCCTTAATCGACTGAGATTGTGTGCGGAAGATTGATTTGATTGTTGCAGCCGGAGGTAGCTAGTTTATTGTGCACCCCATACTCATCCTGTGAGCGGTAGCGTAAAAAGGATTAGAGAGAGGCACAAAAGGTCAATGGGAAAGTGTCCTGGGTTGTGGGTGCTGCTAGCGGAATGGGCGCCGTGGGAGGCAAGGCCTGGTGCTCCGGAATAGTGGTTGTAGAACGGAAACGATGACGGAATGGGAGACATGGGAGGGGTGAGAGTGAGAAAGACTGGAGAAAGAGAGGGATAGATGGATGCACTCTTGCCGTTCCGCGTTGCTGTCCTCTACCTCCTTTCCGTTGCAAAATTAGATACTCAGGTGGGGGATATTTCCATCCCATTAAAGGGATGGAAATAAAGTAACAATCTGAGTTGTATTTGGACTGATCTGTTTCCCCACATTCCTTTGTGTTTATTCGTAATTACTCACCCGCTTCAAGTCTCCAATTTCCTCATACCCCGACCCACTTACCCATCTTCAGCAACTTGATTTATAATTGTTATCTTCGTGATATCCTTTAAGCATACACGTGCACGTGTATGCACACAGGTCCTGCGTGTACATGTCCGTGTCTAGGCGCTCAAAGAGTATACATGGACAGGTGTTTATGAGTGTATGTATACACATGTTTGTCAGTACTCACCTAGCTGTGCTTGCTGAGGGAGGGGAGGTTGAGCTTCGCCTCTTTGGTCCCGCCAAAGAGTGTATAAGTACAGGTGCTCATGAGACCGCTGTTAAGGTACTTGCGATTGAGCACCTGCGTAGTTATGACGACTTCTCCATTCATATACAAGTTACAAACAGGTGTTGGTATTCATGCTAATACCCACCTGCCCGCACAAGTACCAAGACTCACCTGGAGCTGAGTGGTAAACAGCTCTCACCACTCTACCCTGACTCTTGGGTAGACAGAAGAGTGCGAATGAAAGATCACGTCTCTAATAGGAAAAGTAACATTATAAATCAGCACATCTGCGGGATACTGGAGTATGGGGGGGGGGGGGCATAGGAGAGGGCAGGATACCCATTGATTGTTGACACCGGAGGCGGCTAGTTTATTGTGCGCCCCATACCAATCCTGTGAGCAGTAGCGCAAAAAGGATACCCACCTCCCACGTAACCTGAGGTAGAGTTGGGGGTAGTGTAGAGTGGGTAGCCTTGCCCCTCTCTTGATTTGGGCACGTGGCCACAGGCTCATACTATACTCTCTATTCATAATGTATTTAATGAAATGTTTTTCTTCAGCTGGGTTTCTGTTTCTTTACTCTGGGGTTCCGTGGACCTTCCACAGGTTACTCTGAGGTTCCGTGGACCTTCCACAGGTTACTCTGAGGTTCCGTGGACCTTCCACAGGTTACTCTGAGGTTCCGTGGACCTTCCACAGGTTACTCTGAGGTTCCGTGGACCTTCCACAGGTTACTCTGAGGTTCCGTGGACCTTCCACAGGTTACTCTGAGGTTCCGTGGACCTTCCACAGGTTACTCTGAGGTTCCGTGGACCTTCCACAGGTTACTCTGAGGTTCCGTGGACCTTCCACAGGTTACTCTGAGGTTCCGTGGACCTTCCACAGGTTACTCTGAGGTTCCGTGGACCTTCCACAGGTTACTCTGAGGTTCCGTGGACCTTCCACAGGTTACTCTGAGGTTCCGTGGACCTTCCACAGGTTACTCTGAGGTTCCGTGGACCTTCCACAGTTTTTTTTTTTTTACAATCACATGTAAAAAAAAATATATGGCAAAACGAAATAAATCAAAATTAAAGTTCATATAATGGGAGTTAGTGTTACCTATCCTCCTAGAACCCAGGCAGATGCTCTTATGATAAGCCTGCAGAGTTTACAAGTGGAAGATCTCTGTGGTAATGTAGTAAGTGAATGCTGATACAGGGATTCCCGCCAGCTCCTGCGGCGCCGGGGTAGCCCAAGTGGTTTAGGCACTGGGGGGAACCAGGAGCCAGATTCACGAAGCAGTTACGCAAGCACTAACGAACCTGTACATCTTTTCTCAATCTTTGTCAATCTCTCAAACCTTGAAAGAGATGTTGTTGTCTTACTTATATATTGAGATCCTTGGGGCTGATAGTCGCATACCCAACATCCACTACTTTCAAAACGTATCGCACAACTAGGGACAACGTTGGACAGACAAGGGGCGATGCATTTTCACCCATAGGGTAATAAACCCATGGGGAAATAAACCCATGGGTAATAAACCCATGGGGAAATAAACCCATGGGGAAATAAACCCATGGGTAATAAACCATTGGAATTACCTACTTGTCTAAGCCCCAAATTCCAAGACAATACTCAAGATCAATATCTAACTGGAAAAAAATCCTCAGGAATAACTGAAGGACCTTTTGCAAGCACCCGGCTTCCTGTCCCCGTCCAGGCCCCTGGAGATTGTGGCCCTCGGGGGCTTCCTTCCTCGTCGAGGCCACTAGAGAGCGTGACCCTCAGGTAAATTCATGTAAATATACGGTTTTCAATTTCCGTCGTTCTTATTCCGACGCTTCCCCTACCTTCCCCCTAAGGGAGCCGGTCGGCCGAGCGGACAGCACACTGGACTTGTGATCCTGTGGTCCTGGGCTCGATCCCAGGGCATGGGCAAAAGTTTCTTTCACCCTATGCCCCTGTTACCTAGCAGTAAAAATAGGTACCTGGGTGTAAGTCAGCTGTCACGGGCTGCTTCCTGGGGGTGGAGGCCTGGTCGAAGACCGGGCCGCGGGGACACTAAAAGCCCCGAAATCATCTCAAGATAACCTCAAGATCTCAAGATAACCTTCCTCAGCACGTAATATTGATCCTGCGCCTGTGAGTGGCTCTGGAGATAGTTAAGATATGCGGTATTCAAATGAATGCAAAGTACAAGAAAAGATAATCGAAGACAGTTTAAACGGCTGGGGTTCTTATCCTCCTCCTTACTGCGTATACTGAGACGGTCCTTAGACCGTCAAACAGACACAGACTCAAGCACACACCCATACCAGTTGATTGACAGTTGAGAGGCGGGACCAAAGAGCCAAAGCTCAATCCCCGCAACCACAAATAGGTGAGTACACACATACACACACACACAGGCAGAAACAGACACAAGCACACACACCTGTTGATTGACGGTTGAGAGGCGGGACCAAAGAGCCAGAGCTCAACCCCCGCAAACACAACTAGGTGAGTACAACTAGGTGAGTACATAGATACATATGTTCTATTAGAATGCCATCTATTCGAGTACCTTCAACCCTTCACACTAACATTTCACTAACAGCCTCAGTTTTGATAACTAGTCTAACTGGCTGACATGACCACCTACCCTCCCCGTACCCACCCCGTGCCCACCCCGTACCCACCCCGTACCCATCCCATACCCACCCCGTACCCACAAGAATCACGTAAAAAATATAATTGCCAAACGTTAACCTGAAAGACTCAGTTCAGTTATACTTTTCCCCAAACCATAAAAATTAACCAAAAACTCCCTCTATGAAAGCATGTGCGAGTGATGGTTAGGAAAACGGGAAAAAATATGGGAAAATACAATGACGTTCATGTTACAAACTGAATTTGCTTGACAAGTGCGTTAATGTGCGGCGCTTCAGCGGAAGACAGGCAGCCTTATTTTTTAAGGGATTTCCATTTCGCGTCAAGAGTTATTTCATGATAATATGAGTAGGTCACTTCAACCCACGTATATGAATGGTTTAAACCAGTGGAGTTTTTCGGCGCCGTGGAGAGAAGGAGGAACCTGCTGCATGGGTAACAGCTTCTCTCCTAGTATCAGCCTACCCTGGCTTTGCGCCCTGGTAAGGCAACTCCAGACCGATAACCAGAGCGTAAGTCCATAGTCTCCTGAGACTGATGGATATCTACTATAACAAAAAATATCGCTGCGATATGGCCTGGGGGAGGGATGTGGCCTGGGGGGAGGGAAGAAAAGGGGGGGGGTGGCAGGGACAAAGTGGGGTGACAACTGACCAGGGGCAGGGACAAAGTGGGGGTGAATAGGGACCACAGGGCCCCGCCCATTAACTAGCTAACTCACCGTAACTGTGCTTTCACAAGCCTCCGACTGTGTAGGCGTCCCGTGCTCTCAAGAGCAGCCGTGTCTGGTTCTAGTAGAACCATGATATACCAGTAGAACTATTATATACCAGTAGAACCATTATATACCAGTAGAACCATGATATACCAGTAGAACCATTATATACCAGTAGAACCATTATATACCAGTAGAACCATTATATACCAGTAGAACCATGATATACCAGTAGAACCATTATATACCAGTAGAACTATAATATACCAGTAGAACCATGATATACCAGTAGAACCATGATATACCAGTAGAACCATTATATACCAGTAGAACCATTATATACCAGTAGAACCATGATATACCAGTAGAACCATGATATACCAGTAGAACCATGATATACCAGTAGAACCATGATATACCAGTAGAACCATGATATACCAGTAGAACCATGATATACCAGTAGAACCATTATATACCAGTAGAACCATGATATACCAGTAGAACCATGATATACCAGTAGAACCATTATATACCAGTAGAACCATGATATACCAGTAGAACCATTATATACCAGTAGAACCATGATATACCAGTAGAACCATTATATACCAGTAGAACCATGATATACCAGTAGAACCATGATATACCAGTAGAACCATGATATACCAGTAGAACCATTATATACCAGTAGAACCATGATATACCAGTAGAACCATGATATACCAGTAGAACCAGATATACCAGTAGAACCATTATATACCAGTAGAACCATTATATACCAGTAGAACCATAGAACCATTATATACCAGTAGAACCATTATATACCAGTAGAACCATTATATACCAGTAGAACCATGATATACCAGTAGAACCATGATATACCAGTAGAACCATGATATACCAGTAGAACCATTATATACCAGTAGAACCATTATATACCAGTAGAACCATTATATACCAGTAGAACCATGATATACCAGTAGAACCAGTAGAATATAATATACCAGTAGAACCATTATATACCAGTAGAACCATTATATACCAGTAGAACCATGATATACCAGTAGAACCATTATATACCAGTAGAACTATAATATACCAGTAGAACCATTATATACCAGTAGAACCATTATATACCAGTAGAACCATGATATACCAGTAGAACCATGATATACCAGTAGAACCATTATATACCAGTAGAACCATTATATACCAGTAGAACCATGATATACCAGTAGAACCAGTAGAACCATGATATACCAGTAGAACCATTATATACCAGTAGAACCATGATATACCAGTAGAACCATGATATACCAGTAGAACCATTATATACCAGTAGAACCATTATATACCAGTAGAACCATGATATACCAGTAGAACCATTATATACCAGTAGAACCATTATATACCAGTAGAACCATTATATACCAGTAGAACCATGATATACCAGTAGAACCATGATATACCAGTAGAACCATTATATACCAGTAGAACTATAATATACAAATACAATTATAATGTTTCAATAAGATAATAATAAATGTATTTTCGCAAGAACATATTTAAAAAAATGTGTCTTAAATTGAGGGGAAAGTAACTTAATGTTTAATGAATAGAGGCAGCTGTAGAGGAGACAGCTGTAGAGGAGACAGCTGTAGAGGAGGCAGCTGTAGAGGAGACAGCTGTAGAGGAGACAGCTGTAGAGGAGACAGCTGTAGAGGAGACAGCTGTAGAGGAGACAGCTGTAGAGGAGACAGCTGTAGAGGAGACAGCTGTAGAGGAGACAGTTGTAGAGGAGACAGCTGTAGAGGAGACAGCTGTAGAGGAGACAGCTGTAGAGGAGACAGCTGTAGAGGAGACAGCTGTAGAGGAGGCAGCTGTAGAGGAGACAGCTGTAGAGGAGACAGCTGTAGAGGAGACAGCTGTAGAGGAGGCAGCTGTAGAGGAGACAGCTGTAGAGGAGACAGCTGTAGAGGAGACAGCTGTAGAGGAGACAGCTGTAGAGGAGACAGCTGTAGAGGAGACAGCTGTAGAGGAGACAGTTGTAGAGGAGACAGTTGTAGAGGAGACAGCTGTAGAGGAGACAGCTGTAGAGGAAAGTCGTCATGAGGAAACGCCAGTAGAGGAGACAGCTGTAGAGGAGACAGCTGTAGAGGAGACAGCTGTAGAGGAGACAGCTGTAGAGGAGACAGTTGTAGAGGAGACAGCTGTAGAGGAGACAGCTGTAGAGGAGACAGCTGTAGAGGAAAGTCGTCATGAGGAAACGCCAGTAGAGGAGACAGCTGTAGAGGAGACAGTTGTAGAGGAGACAGTTGTAGAGGAGACAGCTGTAGAGGAGACAGCTGTAGAGGAGACAGCTGTAGAGGAGACAGCTGTAGAGGAGACAGCTGTAGAGGAAAGTCGTCATGAGGAAACGCCAGTAGAGGAGACAGTATAGTGACCCCCTGTGACCACAGAGCCATGACCCTGAGGTGGAAGATACCAACCACAGCAAGGTAAGGTGTGTGTGTGTGTGAGTTGCCAATATGAGAAGCGAAGACAAGAGACAGTGGAGGATATCAAATTAATTCAACCCGTTCTCGCATTTGCTTATAGTCAATATTGGCTTATTTAATAAGTGCATATATGACATACTAATTGATTGTAAATAATTTAGTTTACCTTGAAAAGCTTCATAGAAAACACCGACCTCACCTAACCTTCTTAGTATGTTAAGATAAGCATCTTATTGCTTCTTAATTACAATTATTACTTAACCTATACCGTTGATAGGTTAAGTAATAATTGTAAATAAGAAGCAATAAGATGCTTATCTTAACATACTAAGAAGGTTAGGTGAGGTCGGTGTTTTCTATGAAGCTTTTCAAGGTAAACTAAAATATTTACAATCAATTAGTATGTCATATATGCACTTATTAAATAAGCCAATATTGACTATAAGCAAGTGCGAGAACGGGTTGAATTAATTTGTGCCTCACATGAGCACCTTGTGGGGGGGGGGGGGAGGGGGAGGAAGAGCGCGACCAGCAGCTGCGCCGCTGCGCTCACAACAGCGCTGCGCAGTTTGTCAACAATCCTTGAAACCTTCTGATAGGTAAAAGCATTCCACACACACATTCACACACTCCACATTCCTCAAGCATCCGTGCTTCCAGCCTCCCAAAATTTTGTAGTTATTCCTCTATTCCTCTATCATTCCATGCAGCCTTCAAACCGATGGTTATGAATGAAAACCCGTTTTAAATTATTTTTGTATTCGGCTGTAACCAACATCCTTTATCATGATCATGTATACAATATTCTGCAGAACATTGTAAAATTTAAAATCGAGAAATAAATTTGAAATTCTGACATCGAACATCGATAAATTGTAAATGTTGACCAAACACTTGCAAGCATATTAAGGAAACTATTATTTTGTGCACCTCAATCACGGTACCGTGGGGTTATACCGGTACCCCATTAACCCCCCCATGAAGGAACCAGACCAAAAAAACCGTGGTAGATTAAGGCAGCGTCTGGGATCCTCTCAGACGAAGGTTCGAACCCTCATCACGGCCCTTGTGGATTTGTTCAGACAAGAAACACCGTCGCATCTGTCCTCACCCCTGATATCTCTCGACAAAGATGCGTCAACACAAGCCGGCTCAGTGTTATCTCACAATCTTCCTCCTTCAATCTCAATTTTATTCCTTCATGGCAAACATTTACTCAGGTATACTATCCACAAACCAGTATCAACAAGCCAGTATCCACAAACCAGTATCCACAAACCAGTATCCACAAACCAGTATCCACAAACCAGTATCCACAAACCAGTATCCACAAACCAGTATCCACAAACCAGTATCCACAAACCAGTATCCACAAACCAGTATCCACAAACCAGTATCCACAAACCAGTATCCACAAACCAGTATCCACAAACCAGTATCCACAAACCAGTATCAAAGTTATCAAACAAAACATGCATGACTTTGATCTACAAACAGCAAACGGGGCTTGTCAACGAAACAAACAGTAGTCGAAGGTAGTTATTCAGTAGTCATTCTCACAATCGACTTGAGAATGGTCCAGGACGGACCGAAACGTCGTCGTCCCTTCACTTTCTACTGTTTGGTCTGGTCAACATATTTCAGCCACGTTATTGTGACTCCTCGTCTTCAGTTGTCTAAGAAGTCACTGAGAGTAGCACCATGTTGTTGTTGTTGTTGTTTCAGATTTAGCTACTCAGAACGACGTGTCCATGTAGCACGGGCTATGGTGAGCCCGAAAAGAGTAGCACCAACTTGAACAAAAATGTATACGCGACTTTGCTCTTCGATGCTAGCGAGGTCAGGTGGAATTCAAGTGGGCATAAAAGCCTTTTGTATCCCTGTCACTCTCTTCAATCACGAGTAATGGTCTGCAAGTCAGAGTGTCTGTTAAGGTAAACTGTTGTGAAGAGTTCCCGATGTCTGGAACAAGGGGAGAGAGAGAGAAAGGAAGGGAATAGGACAGAGAGCGAGAAAGGAACGGGACCAGTCCACATACTAGAAAATGAAGGGACGACGACGTTTCGGTCCGTCCTGGACCATTCTTAAGTCTCACAATCGACTTGAGAATGGTCCAGGACGGACCGAAACGTCGTCGTCCCTTCATTTTCTAGTGTGTGGTCTGGTCAACATACTTCAGTCACGTTATTGTGACTCATCGCCTGCAAAGGAATGGAACTATTAAGAGAGAGCGCCAAGCTATTACGACTATATAGCACTTGGAAGGGGTCAGGATAAGGATTTGGGATTTGACGGGGGGAAAGGAATGGTGCACAATCACTTGGACGGTCGGGGATTGAACGCCGACCTGCATGAAGCGAGACCGTCGTTCTACCGTTCAGACCAAGAACACAAGAGAAAGAGAAAACAAAATAAAGCAAGAGCACAAGAGATAGGGAGAACAAGAGTATGAGAGATAGAGAAGAGAGAACAAGAGAAAGAGAGAGAACAAGATGAACAGAACATAAATAATTTCAGGAACTCAAAACATATTCTGCAGAAAATAATCTTCACTTACACATTTACAGTAATAAGTGAGAGCTACAAACGTCCATCTCTCATTACTTATAAAAAGTATATCGGGTGTTTAACTACCACAGGCAACATTATAGAAAAATACTCAATTGCTCTACGAAACGCATCAAAGGAATATAAGATCTTTGAAGTTCTCCTGACAATGAATTCCAATCTTGCCACTTAAGAGCTTGAGACTGACCCCTCAAAGAGGAACCCCCAGGAATATTTTCCAGGTGGCGAACAAGGTATCACTGAACTGGGTATAGTGACTTCCAGTTCACATTATCAATATTTACCAGAGAATTGAAAACACTGAAGTTGATGAGATCAAACCCGCCATCAACTTTTCTCCTGCTGTCTCTTATACACTTCTTGCTCTCATCTGTATCTCTCTCTCTCTCTCTCTCTCTCTCTCTCTCCTCTCTCTCTCCTCTCTCTCTCTCTCTCTCTCTCTCCTCCTCTCTCCTCTCTCTCTCTCTCTCTCTCTCTCTCTTTCTCTCTCTCTCTCTCTCTCTCTCTCTCTCTCTCTCTCTCTCTCTCTCTCTCTCTCTCTCTCTTCTCTCTCTCTCTCTCTCTCTCTCTCTCTCTCTCTCTCTCTCTCTCTCTCTCTCTCTCTCTCTCTCTCTCTCTCTCTCTCTCTCTCTCTCTCTCTCTCTCTCTCTCTCTCGCCATAAGTGAGGCAGAACATGATGACGACATGAAAGGTTTAACAGCTCCCATATATTGCTGTGGTTAATTAGCCTCTCAGGACATGTTACAATACATTACTGAATGTAAACCCAACAATCGTTACTGCATCACCTGAAGTGTTTATGATTTACTCTACTTTACTCTTATCATTATTGTGAGCAGTCAATATCTGGCTTTACTTCATCAACAACGTTCATTAAAGGCTCAGGTCTTGTAACTATATGTCTAACCTACGCTTGAAACAATCAGCGATCCCACGTCTATTGTATTACCCGTTAATTTGTTCCACCAATCAACTATACCCATTCCAAACCAGTATTTACCCAGGTCATTCCTGAAAGTATCCCTGTGACCCGCTGACTACAGTGACCTCCAGTTTAAACGGCCAGACATACCAATATGTTCTGTTGGAACCCCAAAGGCTCCTGTTTTATACTACTGAGTTAGCCAGAATGGCATTTTTGAGAATCTAGCCATTTTTGAATGGTTAGAAAATCAGAAATTCAATTTAATACGCTAAGTTAACCAAGTATTATCCTCCAGCATTATTCAACAGTATTACCTTCCAGTATTATCCTCAAATATTTCTCTCAGACGAGCTAGGCAACCTAAAAAAAATATATCTAAATCTAAAAAATCTAAAATCTAAAAAACCTAAAAATCTAAATCTAAAAAAAATCTAAAAAAAAATCTAAAATCTAAAAATTAAAATAATTTCCATAACTTTGTTTCTATATAAAAACAAGATAATAATGAAGCTGTATGCGAGCGAGACCGTCGAACCGGTTAGTCTCAACGGGGGAACAGAACTGTTTAATAAGTGCGTGGCGTAAAGAGAAGCGCGCCAGAGCTGGGAGATAATTCCTTGACAGTTTCACGGCAAGTGTATGTTAAGTAGGTCATAAAGGAGGTTATAAAGTTTGCCGCTTTCTCGGGTTTATGGCACAGCCGCTGCTCCCAGAGTGGGTTTTTTGGAGGGCCACACATGGGGGGGTAGAAACGGTTTGGCTAGAAAATTCCCTGCTAGCTTGATAGGGTTCTGGGAGTTCTTCTACTGCCCAAGCCCGGCCCGAGGCCACGCTTGACTTGTGAGAGTTTGGTCCACCAGGCTGTTGCTTGGAGCGGCCCACAGGCCCACATATACCTGGTTGATGGGGTTCTGGGAGTTCTTCTACTCCCCCAAGCCCGGCCCGAGGCCAGGCTCGACTTGTGAGAGTTTGGTCCACCAGGCTATTGCTTGGAGCGGCCCGCAGGCCCACATATACCTGCTTGATGGGGTTCTGGGAGTTCTTCTACTCCCCAAGCCCGGCCCGAGGCCAGGCTTGACTTGTGAGAGTTTGGTCCACCAGGCTGTTGCTTGGAGCGGCCCGCAGGCCCACATATACCTGGTTGATGGGGTTCTGGGAGTTCTTCTACTCCCCAAGCCCGGCCCGAGGCCAGGCTTGACTTGTGAGAGTTTGGTCCACCAGGCTGTTGCTTGGAGCGGCCCGCAGGCCCACATATACCTGCTTGATGGGGTTCTGGGAGTTCTTCTACTCCCCCAAGCCCGGCCCGAGGCCACGTTTGACTTGTGAGAGTTTGGTCCACCAGGTCTGGGCCCTGAAGTGCCGCTAGACAGGATAGTCTATAGTGGCACTTGCCAATGCCAGAATTAAGTTGCTGGTTAAGTCTAATGGCGCTGTCTGAAGACGGCTTCAATTGCAAACAAAGACGAATTCTTTTTCAGTTTCCATCTTGCCGGGTGTGCAGGAGTCCATTGACTGGTTGACGTCGTCTCGGGGAGAGACGGAAGGGGGCGCTGCTTGCCTCACCGCAACACCAAGGGAAGGAAGGGATTAGGGTGTAGCCGTGTGTAGGTAAGCCGGGGAGTGGGCGGCCTCAACACCCACACTTCAGGAAGGGTGTCGTCTGCCGTAAGATGGCTTGAGCTGTGAGCGAAAGGAAGAAACAATAGAGCCGCGGCTTTGTGCCCACACGGCTGAGATGCAGGGGAGGAACAGCTGGGAGAGAGGACGGCTGTTGGGGAGTCATATAAGGGAGTAGGAGTCCATATAAGGGAGTCGAAGTCCATATAAGGGAGTCGAAGTCCATGTAAGGGAGTCGAAGTCCATGTAAGGGAGTTGGAGATCATGTAATGGAGTCGGAGTCCATGTAAGGGAGTCGAAGTCCATGTAAGGGAGTCGCAGTCCATGTAAGGAAGTCGGAGTCCATATAAGGGAGTTGGAGTCCATATAAGAGCTCGGAGTCCATGTAAGGAAGTCGGAGTCCATATAAGGGAGTTGGAGTCCATATAAGAGCTCGGAGTCCATGTAAGGGAGTCGGAGTCCATATAAGGGAGTCGGAGTCCATATATGGGAGTCGGAGTCCATGTAAGGAAGTCGGAGTCCATATAAGGGAGTTGGAGTCCATATAAGAGCTCGGAGTCCATGTAAGGAATTCGGAGTCCATATAAGGGAGTTGGAGTCCATATAAGAGCTCGAAGTCCATATAAGGGAGTCGGAGTCCATGTAAGGGAGTCGGAGTCCATATAAGGGAGTCGGAGTCCATATAAGGGAGTCGGAGTCCATATAAGGGAGTCGGAGTCCATATAAGGGAGTCGGAGTCCACATAAGGGAGTCAGAGTCCATATAAGGGAGTCGGAGTCCATATAAGGGAGTCGGAGTCCACATAAGGGAGTCGGAGTCCATATAAGGGAGTGGGAGTCCACATAAGGGAGTCGGAGTCCATATAAGGGAGTCGGAGTCCATATAAGGGAGTCGGAGTCCATATAAGGGAGTCGGAGTCCATATATGGGAGTCGGAGTCCATATAAGGGAGTCGGAGTCCACATAAGGGAGTCGGAGTCCATATAAGGGAGTCGGAGTCCATATAAGGGAGTCGGAGTCCATATAAGGGAGTCGGAGTCCATATATGGGAGTCGGAGTCCATATAAGGGAGTCGGAGTCCACATAAGGGAGTCGGAGTCCATATAAGGGAGTCGGAGTCCATATAAGGGAGTCGGAGTCCATATAAGGGAGTCGGAGTCCATATATGGGAGTCGGAGTCCATATAAGGGAGTCGGAGTCCACATAAGGGAGTCGGAGTCCATATAAGGGAGTCGGAGTCCATATATGGGAGTCGGAGTCCATATAAGGGAGTCGGAGTCCATATATGGGAGTCGGAGTCCATATAAGGGAGTCGGAGTCCACATAAGGGAGTCGGAGTCCATATAAGGGAGTCGGAGTCCACATAAGGGAGTCGGAGTCCATATAAGGGAGTCGGAGTCCATATAAGGGAGTCGGAGT